TACAGCAGCAAGGGAGGTGACAAGGAGCAAGCTTTCCCGTCCTCATAATTTACCTATCTAGGGACCAATATATGTAGTCACCAAATAAATAAAAAGGGACTAACAGACTTTAGTATAGTCAGGGAAAAGTTTATAAGGACGAATAAGAAAACGTTCTTTTGAGCAAGGCAACGATCACGAGATAAGCACAATTTACTGACGTCATAAAATTTTGTGATCTTTTATTCAACTGCAGACGATCGTTGCCTACTAATAAGAGAATTAACTGTCCAATCAAGTGTCGGCCTAGAGGAGTGTAACTTGTTTCTACTCCCTTTGCCTATCAAGTTTCACCCCTCTAGGCCGACACTTAATTGGACAGTTAATTCTCTTCTTAATAGGCAACGATCGTCCGCAGTTGAATAAGAGGTCACGAAATTTTATGACGTCAGTAAATTCTGCTAATCTCGTGGTCTTTGCCTTGTTCAAATTCCTTCCGGGAAAACAATGTTTCAAAACGTACTTTGGCAAACTTCCGTAACAAAATTGTCAGTTGACGAGCACGTATGTCGATAGAGTGGTAAAGATTTACAAGGGCAGCGAAGTGATCACCGCGCGGATTTCCTACAGTTACTCGATAAACCACGTTTTCCGGGTCCAGAAACGTCACGTTGAAATCTTCCATATTGCACTGAAGTGGTCTGAAGGCAATAGGGAAAGAAGTCGTTGTAAACACGAGCATTAAACCATATTAGAACTTACTATTTAGACACAATCTTATTACAAGAGAATAGAAAAACAGGATACTCAGAGGGCTAGAAAACATATGCCATAGAATAAAAAGGCCTGGCGATGGAGGTCACATGGAACTATTTTTGCTTTAGGCACACCTTTTCATACAAAGCTTAGATAAATAAATACAACAGAATGGCATTACTAGCAAAGACAAAAGAGGCTGCAAGAGCCACTTCTCGCTTATTAGCCGTAATCAGCCGGCCAACCCACGTGTTGCAGCACTCGAACTCGCGAACCGTTGGTTAGAAATCTAACATCTTAACCACTGCACCGAGGGCTCCTTGTCTAGCCGGCCTTGGTCGGGAATATTAACAATTGCAGCGCTCACGTGTCAGCTACGGAACTGACTCGTCGTGGGATTCATTAGCTGCTGTGTGGCTGCTGCGAGGGGCTCAAAAAGGAGTGGCAATGCACGACGGGACGGGTGAGTACCGTAACCGATCAGTGAGCGCCTATCTATCATGACAATCCGGAATATGCAAAGACTAATGCATTACTATTATCTCAATATATACAACG